CACAGGTAGACAGACACACACACAGGTAGACAGATAAACAGACACACAGAGATACAGACAGACACAGATATACAGGCAGACATATACAGACAGGTTTATGTGCAACACTGAAAACAAATAGAGAGTTTGAGAGTAAGAGCCTTTCTTGCCACAATCTCCAGTGCAAGATTCAGACTTCATCTTAGAGGCCATGGTGAAATTTACTGTCCAGTTAGTACAGTTAATACAGTATGATGCTGCTGATAGGGCAGGGTTACTCAAACTGATGCTGCCTGCATTACGCATTGCCGCCGCGAGTATTGTCAAATATTGTACAGCGGTGTGCATCAGCCGGCCCAGCCCAGCTGCCAGATGCACGGTCGTAAGTTGAGTGGACGTATGTCGAGTAGGTCGTAAGTTGGATAGTAGGTGTATCTAGTAAAAAGCTGTCTTCAAATTAAACTTCATTTTCATATATATGTTTTAGTTATTACAGCATGTTTATTATAGGATACTCATTCTGTACTAGAGTTTACTGCAAAATGTAAAAGTAACATTTAGTAAACTAAAGAGGCAAAAATGGATGCAAGGGAGAAAAAAGTTGCCATATGAAAGTTCTTATAGTGTTAAGGCTGTTTCAGGACCAGAGCTATGAGTGCATTCTGTCTTTAATATGTACTGTTAAACAAGCTATGTATTTCATATCAGTCGGTTGAGAGTGGAGGGACTAAGAGCTACTTGTTATTTGTGAATGGTTCTGAGGATTATTTCTTCCCCCGGGCACAATCTCAGACCAGGCCACCTCTCTGTTCTCTTATCTGTCAATGATTCTGTAAGTTTTCTTCCCTATAGCCCAGTTTAAGACCCGGCCTCTTACAATGGAAAGGAAATATTACAGAATTAACAACTATTAAGAAGCACATCTGAAAGTAAAGAAATGTCCATACCAGTACTGAATGTAAATAGCAGCCTGTATGATTCACCTGTTATCATGTGTATTCGTGAGACAGAAAGAAAAGATCAGCAATCCTGCAAGAGTGCAAAAATTTAACAGTTTTTTTATAAACTCATTTAATAGGATAATAATACTTCCCTGATAATGGTTGCTGTCTACCAACCTACTTCTAGACTGGAAAGGAAATATTTTAGGATTAAGAACTATTAAGAAATGCACAAGCAAGTGTATAGAGAATATAAGTAGAAGTGTGTAAGATTTCTCTCTCATCTTACATGTGCATGAAGCATAAAAAAAATGACCAGTAATCCTGCCAGTGTGTAAAACATTTAGAAGACTTCCATTCCTTACTCATATTACAAGATAGTTTCTCCTTGAATAGTTGCTGCTTCTATCCTACTGCAATACAAATACAAATAGGTAACTATAGACACACAAACAGGGTCACTATAAACTAAGCTCTGCTTCTGCAGCTGTAAATAAACAATTACGAGTGTCCCTTGATTTCTGCAGATATATTCAAGGTCCATGGCAGCTGTATTAGGTCATCAATACTTAAACTGCATAATACGAATCTTCAACACACTCTGTGAGTGGTACTGATATCTTATGGAAAATAACTGACGCACGTAAAACTACCGATAAAAATGGGACATCACGTAATAGCAAATTCACATCAAGCAAACCTGGATAAAGTGAGGAAAGCAGTACACACAGAACCCATGGTTCAACTGGGAAAGCAGGGAAGCCAAGGGATGATGGATGAGGTCTTGGAAAATAAAGGTGCAAGAGAACATCAAAGAAAAAAGCACACAAAATGGCCAAAAAAAAAAAATAGAAATGAAAATTAGAGGGAATAAAAGTTAAAATTAAACCATGGTTACTCCATAAGCCACATAAAGAAAAATGAGAGATGACCACAAAGACTGGAGGAAAGAGGAGCGCTAGAAAAAAAAAGAGAGAAGCATGTAAAGAGCATAGCAGAATCAAAGATGGAGAAAGGTTTTTACAGAAGCTATCTGAATACAGGAGTATCAGGACAGACCAACAGGAGTTAGAAAATATCAACACAAAATATAAGGCGATAAAACTACTAGAAGAGCTTGACATTACAAAGGAAATGTGACCCAAAACATTCATCCATGAATACAAAGAGACAATTATATTCATGAATACAAAGAAGAGACAATTTTTATAATTGTCTCTTTTTATAATTTCTTTCTTTCTTTCAACACACCGGCTGTATCCCACAGAGGTGGGGTGGCCCAAAAGGAAAACGAAAGTTTCTCCTTTTACATTTAGTAATATATAGGGGAAAAGAGGTTACTAGCCCTTTGCTCCCGGCATTTTAGTCGCCTCTTACAACACGCATGGCTTACGGAGGAAGAATTCTGTTCCACTTCCCCATGGAGATAAGGGGAAATAAACAAGAATAAGAACTAGAAAGAAAATAGAAGAAAACCCAGAGGGGTGTGTATATATATGCTTGTACATGTATGTGTAGTGTGACCTAAGTGTAAGTAGAAGTAGCAAGACGTACCTGAAATCTTGCATGTTCATGAGACAGAAAAAAGGACACCAGCAATCCTACCATCATGTAAAACAATTACAGGCTTTCGTTTTACACTCACTTGGCAGGACGGTAGTACCTCCCTAGGCGGTTGCTGTCTACCAACCTACTACCTAGGTTTTTATAATTTATATATAAAAAAATAAATCACTTAACCTGAAAATTTTGAACATGCCTCTCATTTGTATAATAGACTGGAGGAGGATGTAAGAACATTAACCCTTTGACTGTCAAGACCCCTGCTCACAAACTTGCTCTGTGTCAAAGAATTTAAAAAAAAAAAAAAAAAAAATTCTTCTGATATGACAGAGTCTTTTCCCAATGGCAATGACACCAAAAGTACAAAATTTTATTGAAAACTTACAGATTTACACTTTCACGAAGTTAGCGATCTCGGCGATATTTACGTATCGGTGATTTCGCCCATTTTGAGCCCTATTTTCAGCCAATTCCATTGTTCCAGTTGACCAAACTCAGCTATTTCTTTAGAACTCCATTTGTTCTATTTATTTCAACTACCCAAGTGGTCAGAAATTGGCAATTTGGCCAATTTCATGCAAATTAAAAAAGATGCCAATTTCAAAACAGGGTCCAGAATGAACAATGCAGACATTCCTGGCACTAAAATAACATTTTCTCTGTACATCAGTCATGTCTCCAGGCCCCTCTTATATTACTCTTGCTTTCTATTTTGAATTTTTATTCACACAAAAAATTGAAGATTTACTGTTATGGAGACTACTGCATTATTGTAATAATTGTATAAATAATGTCAACCCATTACTGACTGCATATTAGAATGGCTAGCTGGACACTTATTGGACAATGACGTCATTTGTTTACTCTTGAACATCAGCAAAAATTGAACATTTCCTCTACGTTGAGCTCAATTTCAAGATCCTTTTCGTGAAACCAATCAAAATCATCTCTATTTCTGTAATGTGTCTTCCATTCTATCAAATGAGACCAAGAAAACGAGAATACAATCATCAATACTATACGAAAATACACCTCAAAGTCAGCGTTTTAATCCAAAAACACGGTCAGTTTTTTTTTCTCATTATGCACTGCATGCTGCAGGATTTCTTTTATACTGCACACACTGATCATACAGACCCATTCTCTTACATGTGGGCCTACCAGCTTTCTCCTGCTTGATTTGAAGCCGCTAGAATTCTGGAGTATAAATATGTCAAAAACGTTGGCTCGTAAGACGTATACATATGTCAGAAACAGTCAAAGGGTTAAAAAAGATACAAAAACAGGTAAGCTTTAAAACCTTCAACAGAGAAAAAAAAAATAAAATTGTTAATCAAGATAGAAGTACCTAAAAGATAAACAAATATTTCTCAAGTGGTATACTATTGAAATAGGATTCAAGAGGGATATAAATCATTCCACAACCACTGAAAATATTAAAAACCGATATGACAAAATAGGACACAGAGCAGCTCCCCTCCTGTACAAATAAGTACTCAAATACGTAATCAAACTAACTACTGGATATATAATATATCTTAAAAGTAAATCAGCACTGGTCTTCACTACAGTACTGATTTTAATTCAGAAGGCTCATACAGAACTACTGTATATAAAATACAATAGTTAAATGCTAAATTCCATTTTAAGGAATCTGAAATATCAAAACTACACTATATAGAAATTTTCCTAGGTACTGATGCAATATTTTAAAATATTCTTAAGTCAGTGATTATTAACTGTTAGAGTATATAAAGATAATCAAGGTACCTAGAATGTTTGCATGTACTTGAAAGGCATTTTAACCACCCTAGCCACTAATCACAGTACAAAATATGTATAGATTAGAGCCTTTTAATTCAAAGCATGCAGGATGAGAACACACACACATTTTTTTTTTTTTCAACAAGTTGGTCGTCTCCCACCGAGGCAGGGTGACCCAAAAAAGAAAGAAAATCCCCAAAAAGAAAATACTTTCATCATCATTCAACACTTTCACCACACTCACACATTATCACTGCTTTTGCAGAGGTGCTCAGAATACAACAGTTTAGAAGCATATACGTATAAAGATACACAAGATACATAACATACACAACACACACACATATACATGTATATATAATATATACTATGTTTGCTTACTTATGTCTATAGTGAGCATAATACATTAATAATCATTTGTAGGATACCAAACTTTTTATCAAGTGGTTAAGAGTAAGGAAAAGTCTTTCCATGACAGTCTACTGTGAATTTTCACTGACTCACATCAATGAAATGAGTCTCAAAGCTTGTAATACAGTATATCCATATACAAAAATAATAAAAAAGAAACATGAAAATTAATTAATATACATAATTAAATTTTAGGTAGTTTTAAAATAAAGTTAATTTTGAAAAAGTAAAATATTTAAATGCGTATAGAGCATCATTTTACTTGTTAAGGGAAACCCAAGTAATTGAATTAAACAAGGCGAGTGGACGTGAGAGTTGGGAGTGTTGGTGAGAGGGACATACACTGGCTTGTGACTGGAGGATGATGGTAGCGGGACGTGCGGCTGCTGACGACACCATCACGGACCTCACCGCGACCGTGCCAGCCTGCATGATGCAACACAAGAAACACTATCAAGCATGGGACACACCAGAGAGAGAGGGAGAGATGGAGCAAGGAGTTAGGAAAAAGCAAAAGAATTCCTATCAACCCTCGCTAATCCAATTGTAAATAGAACTGCTTTTGCAATTTTGAATACATAATCACAACACCAATAGTAGTGTGATTATCTAAAAAAAAAAAAAAATAGATTGACGAGGTTGAAGGGATACAGTGATAAGGGTGCACCTAGGCCTTCTAAAACTTATAAAGCAACAGTATAAACAAACTCAACTAGGTGCACACACATATGCATACAGTCTTATTATATTAAACACACTAAACACACACATAAAAGTAGTCATGCATGAAGAAATTTAACATTATTTTAAGATATGCTTTCCTTTATCTACACATGTAAGAAAGGCAAATACTTTGGTATAAATAAAGGAAGCTCCATCACAACTCTCTCCAGCACTTAAGATTATCAACATTAAATAAATTAAGCAAAAACATTCTGGCACACCACTGAAAAATCTACTGACATTTTTCATATACAATACAAAAATTTTAGTAGAAAAATTACAAACCACCTTCTAATGCTTAGAGAGAAACAATACATTGCTACTTTAATTTTCCTCTTCTAACAGTAGTTCTAAAAGTTTACGGAAAAATGCCAATAACTGGATGAAGGGATAAGGGTACTCGCTCATGCCTAATTTAATCCCAAACTTTTGACATTTCTTCACTAACACACTGTAAATGTTTAATTTATATACACAAAGTTTATACTTATTTACTGACATATATCATACTCTTTCTTTAGCAGGACACTATGCAATCTCATCCATGTATTCATTATCATTATTATTATTATGGGGAAGCTCTAAACCCATAGGGGTCATACAGTGCCTGGGAAGGACTAGTTTGGGACTGTGCTGCTGGGGCACTGACCCCCCAAAATCCTCTCCAGATAAACTCCAAGCATAGAAGGTTATCAGGTTTGATTCAAGGAAAGGAAGGCAAGGGTAACTTCAATTCACTGAATCCAGAACACTTTACCAGCATCAAAGCACCCCCCTTAAAAAGATTCTTTAATTGAATAACCCTCAAGTTTACTTCATACATAACTTTCTATCCACAAATAACCCACACACAGGAGAGAGGAGCTCACGATTTTGTAAATGGTCCAAGTCGTCTTAAGATCCTCTCTCCTATTTGCGGGTTATCTGTGTATTGTTCCAGTCACGGTATTGTGCCTTTTTGTTCTCCATAACTTTCTATGAGTTTTTCTCATAAATTAAAATTTGTGGTAATCCTCTTAAAATATATTAGAAAATTACAAACCTCTACATTAGGGTTGTGATTTACATGCCCAACACCAACATGATCATGCAAATCTGGATCATAGTAACAAGAACAATTAAAATATGTTTAGCTCTCCCAAGTGTATACAAGACTTGCATATTTATTTACTGAAACAAAATATAATTCAGCAGTTGATTAATTCTCCTAAGGATAAAACAGAAATAAATGATGATCAAAACATCACAATATCATGGTTGGGATAATTCACAAATAACTCGCACTTAGGAAGGAAAATTAATAGCTGAACTTCAGTCCATCCTGGACCACTGTCAAGTCACAGTAGTGACTTGACAGTGGTCCAGGATGGACTGAAACATTATCCTAAGTTTCTTCTCCTAACTGCAGGCTATAGTGACTTGACAGTGGTCCAGGATGAACTGAAAAATCATCACAAGTTTTCTAAATGCAGGCTGTAGTGATGTGACAGTGGTCCAGGATGGATTGAAACATCATCACCATTATCCTAAGTACAGGCTGTAGTGATGTGACAGTGGTCCAGGATGGACTGAAACATCATAAGTTTCCTAAGTGCAGGCTGTAGTGACGTGACAGTGGTCCAAGATGGACGGAAACATCATCACAAGTTTCCTAAGTGCATTAAAAAACCAAGAAGGGAGGCAACCTCACCAAAGGACTTAGTAACTGCAGTCTTTATGTAAGGGGATTCCCCTTCCAAATAGAACACCTGCATCATCTGCCCTCCTACCATCTCATCACTCAACAATAACTCCACAATAAAGGTAAGTGGCATTTAATTATTGTTTATTCTGCATGTCCCATTTGTTTTTGTGTAGGGAAATGTATATTTCATGTAAAAAAAAAATTCTTTTGTTTAATACTTTTGGGTGTCTGGAACGGATTAATTCTATTTCCATTATTTATTATGGGGAAAATTAATTTGACTAACGGCAAATTCGGCTAACGGCTAGCTCTCTGGAATGGATTAATGCCGTTGGTCAAGGGTCCACTGTAGTTCTATACAGGAATTTGCTATATGAAAACCAAATTGATTGTTGGTTATTACTATTTTGCTCTCTAAGTGCTTTATTCACCTCTCTGAGATCATCCAATAGAACAATAAGTACAGGTCTCCCTCAACATTCACGTTTTCAGCTTTCGCGGGCTTCACACATTCGCGAATTCCCAAACGCCAAATTCCCAGCCACCAAATTCCCAGCCGCCAAATCATATTCAAGTTTCCCGCCACCTGCGAGTCCCTACTACTCTCCCACCGACCCCCGCAACTGGCAGCCAGCCCTCCCACTACTCAGTGTGGTGAGTGTTTTGTTTGTTCATTATTTGCTATAAAACTGCAGTATAAATAATGTAAACCCATTCATGACTGCATATTGGAATGGCTATTCGGACAGGTATTAGACGGTGACATGTGTTTACTCTTGAACACAGCAAAGAATCAAACATTTCTGCTACTGCTAATAATAACAATAGTAATAATAATAATAATAATAATAATAATAATAATAATAATAATAATAAATACGATATAATTGAAGAAAGAAGTTATAAAAAAATACGAGGGAGTGGTTGACACATCGTCAGTGTGGCTTTGCTTATGCTGGAGTGAGCATTAGTCTCCCTGCTCTTCTAAACATTTCACATTAATTCATTGTGTTTGGTACTTGTAGATTGAGTGTGACTGGAGTGGTAGAGGCAGTGGTAGAGGCAGTGGTAGAGGCAGTGGTTGAGGCAGTGGTTGAGGCAGTGGTTGAGGCAGCTGTTGAGGCAGCGATTGAGGCAGCTGTTGTGGCAGCGATTGAGGCAGCTGTTGAGGCAGCGATTGTGGCAGTGGGCGAGGCAGCTGTTGAGGCAGCGATTGAGGCAGCTGTTGAGGCAGCAACTGAGGCAGTGGGTGAGGCAGCTGTTGAGGCAGCGATTGAGGCAGCTGTTGAGGCAGCGATTGAGGCAGCGGTTGAGGCAGCTGTTGAGGCAGCTGTTGAGGCAGCTATTGAGGCAGCTATTGAGGCAGCTGTTGAGGCAGCGATTGAGGCAGCGATTGAGGCAGTGAGTGAGGCAGCTGTTGAGGAAGCGATTGAGGCAGCTGTTGAGACAGCTGTTGAGGCAGCGACTGAGGCAGTGGGTGAGGCAGTGGGTGAGGCAGCTGGTGAGGAAGCGATTGAGGCAGTGGCATTTAATAACATACATGTTATTAATAATAATAAATGTTATTAATATGTACTATTATTTATAACACATGTTATTAAATACCACTGCCTCAACCGCTAAATTATTGTGAAATTTTTGGAAGAGCAGGGAGACTAACGCTCACTCCAGCATAAACAAAGCCACACTGACGATGTGTCAACCACTCCCTCGTATTTTTGTACAATTTCCTTCTTCAATTATATATTATTATTATTATTATTATTATTATTATTATTATTATTATTATTATTACTATTACTATTGTTATTATTAGCAGTAGCAGAAAGTTTGATTCTTTGTTGTGTTCAAGACTAAACACATGATGTCACCGTCCAATACCTGTCCGAATAGCCATTCCAATATGCAGTCATGAATGGGTTTACATTATTTATACTGTAGTTTAATAGCAAATAATGAACAAACAAAACACTCACCACACTGAGTGGTGGGAGGGCTGGCTGCCAGTTGCAGGGGTCAGAGGGAGGGTAGTAGGGACTCGCAGTGGTTGGGGAAGTGGTGGAGGCATTGGTGGAGTCTGTGGTATTTAATAACATACATGTTATTAAAGCATAACATGTATATATTTAGTACAATTTACGACGTTTTCATGTATTTTATGATTGTTCATGGTTCAACAAGTTAAGGAGGCAGTATTGTATTATATTTCCCTACAATATATTGGGGCACCAAACATTCACGGTTTTTCAACATTCGCGAGGCTCTTGATCCCCTAACCCTCGCGAATGTTGAGGGAGACCTGTATATGTTAAAAACCTATGCCTAAATGTGTTGGATGGCCTGGCTAGAAAACTAAATAAGGCAAATGGATGAAAATCCAGGAAAATGACAGGCTAAATTATGAAAATTTTCAAACCAAGAGAAGTCAAGCAAATGGCTTCTCTTATGCTCACAGCTCGTTGCAAGGCATGAGTGATTTCATACCTAAAGAGATATCCGAGATTTTTTATTTTTTTTTCAACTAGTCGGCTGTCTCCAACTAGGCAGGGTGACCCTAACGGAAAGAAAATCCCCAAAAAGAAAATACTTTCAACATCATTCAACACTTTCACCTCACTCATACATAATCACTGTTTTTGCAGAGGTACCCATATACAACAGTTTAGAAGCATATTTAAAGATATATAACATATCCCTCCAAACTGCCAATATCCCAAACCCCTCCTTTAAAGTGCAGGCATCGTACTTCCTATTTCCAGTACTCAAGTCCGGTTATATATAAATAACCAGTTTCCCTGAATCCCTTCACCAAACATTACCCTGCTCACACTCCAACAGCTCGTCAGGTCCCAAAAACCATTCGTCTCCATTCACTCCTATCTAACATGCTCATGCACGCTTGCTGGAAGTCCAAACCCCTCGCCCACAAAACCTCCTTTACCCCCTTCCTCCAACCTTTTCAAGGATGACCCCTACCCCGCCTTCCTTCCCCTACAGATTTATACGCTCTCCATGTCAT